ATGCTTGGATGTTTATATCTGTAAAATTAATTTTCAAATCATGATTTTTGGAATTGACATAGGAAATATAAATTTACAAATTTAAAATTTAAAGGGTTATTATCGTAATATAACGTAATACAATGATCCTTCTGCATTGTATTACGTTATATTACGGTAATAACCCTTTAAATTTCAAATTTGTAAATTTATATTTCCTATGTCAATTCCAAAAATCATGATTTGAAAATTAATTTTACAGATATAAACATCCAAGCATAAAAAGAAGAAATCAAAACAGTCAAACGTATCAATATACGCGGAGCAGGATGTACAACAGCCTTTGAAACAGTTTTTAAATTGATTGACCTGATGATGGTGTAATACACCGAAACATGTCGTCAAATGTGAAATGTATCAAGATCTAATTCTAAAAAATGTTGTAATTTTATGTAATTTTAAGTAAATTTTAACAACATTTTAAGTTTGTGTATAGACGGTGAATAAATTATTATATTGATTAAACACTAGCAGAGTTGATGGGAATGAACTATTTTGTGCTGAACAATAATATTTTATTACAGCATTATCTTTGCAAATTGTATTGAAGATACATTTATAATATGTCTTATAAAGTAAATTAAATGTGAAAACATCTTCTTGGTAACTGAAGCCAGATTCCAAATGCATCTACACAGAACTCTCTGCCTGACTCCAGACTCCTACTTTATGCACACACTACAAGGCCCATAAGCACCACCATAGCATTGTTTGCATTACTTGCTACCAGAGTCACCACCTTCAGAACTTAAATTTCAATTTTTTCTGTGTTGCACGAACAGTGCATTTGTACAGTAAACCATGATGGACATTGGCTGCTATTTTAGGATTGGATTTAACTAAGCATTACACATTTTCATGTTTTCTCTTGCATTTAGTGTTTTTTCTCAATTCAGAGTATTCTTCATATACTTTTTTGAGATTTATCCTTAATGCTTTCACATTTGTGAAAGGAACTTAGATGATCCCAGGTAACAGAAAACAGGACAAAATTATATGAATAGAAAAGAATGTCAAGCCATATATTTTCCATTACATTAATTTTATCTCTGCTCTGAATATACTCTCCACAAATGACAGATGGATCAGACTTACAAATCAACACCAGCATAATGTTTTTGGCTTTTCCCCCCCCTATATTTCTGAGTGTACACTACCATGACCACCCTGTTTGCTGGTGTGTTATAGTAATGATGTGTTGAATTCATGTACAGCTCTGTTGACTAGAGGAAAGTTGATTCTCTTTGTGTTCATATTTTTACTACTGTCAAGTCAATTTCCTGGCCATACAAAGTCTACAAGAAGTCTTGTTTATAGACAAGGTCTCGAAAGCGGCAATCCTGTGTGGGATTTCACAGAAAACTATAATGAATAAATCCTGTAATTGTATGGTGATGGATCCACTACAATATTTGAAATTACCTTAATATTGCTGTTAATGGTAAAGGTGGGAACATTGATAAAGACACACAAAAAAACGCCTTATCAGTTTATGTTCTGCTTCTAATTATATCTGAATTTGTTTGTTTCTTTGTGCACATTTTAAATTTGTGCCTCTTGAAATAACACATGGTTTAGTCTGAATAAAAATGTTTCAGTCACAGGGAGAAAAGGTTACCTGTGGCAGCTGCGATATGTCCCAGTGTGGATGGCGATATGGACCTTGCTGAAAGTGAATATGAGGACATGGAGCTGCCAGATGAGGAGGGTAGTGTGCTGATGGGGAACAAGGAGGAACCCAAACTGGATGTCAAGACAGAAACATCGCCTGCTGAAGAAGAGAACCATTCGGTTTTAATGAGATCCAAGACAGATGATGCCATTTTGACGGAAAAGTTCTGTGAGGAAGAGCAGGAGAAAGTTACCAAGAAATCACAACAGCAGAAAAAGAAGAAAAAGAAGCAGAACAAGAGAATGTCACTAACATCTCTACCAGAGGAGGTTGCCTCAAACAAGATACTTAGAAAATACTGGGTCCGACGCTATCAGCTCTTCTCCAGGTTTGATGAGGGAATTAAACTTGATGATGGTAAGGCTTTAGAATTACCCTTCCTAATATTCATATGATTTACCAATTTGCTTTGTTCACAGTAGTTATCAAAAAGTACCGTAACAAATGTATTTCAACCACTGTCTGTGTCTATAACATTTGTTGATATTTTAAAAGAATATTACAACATAAACTACATGGCATGTAAGGATGCCAAATTCTTCCCAGTACTGTATTCTGGTTTTGCCATTTTTGTAGGGTTTTCTTTAGCACCTTATAATATGTATTTGAAAGAGTGCCATGCTTTTTGAGGTAGCCAGTATTATGTTGCATGGTATTTGCAGTACATGCCACAACATGCTGGCTTTGGCAGTTGTAACAGCAAAAATAAATCTCACTGTAAGATCAGTTCCTGTAGGATGAACTGCGTGAACATTCCTCCATGTGTCCAGATATGAAGGAATTCAATAGTGTGAGGGAAGGAGTTAGATTAGTATGATATGCTTTGTGAATGGTTTTCTGAATATGGCCATTAAAAATAACATCACCACACAGAATGTTTTTGACCAATGTAGTATATATGCTCTGCCATCCCATTCCATAAAACAAACTGTAACATACCAAGTCATAAAGGATGCAGACAAAATTATTACAGTTAACCATACCAGCCCTGAAAACCTCCACATGTAACACTTTGTGCTTTCCAAGTCAAATCCTCAAATATTATGTGCATCCAACTGTTTAATGAAAAAGTTTTACAGAAAAGTGGGTGGATAAATGTGGTATAATTCACAGTTGCCTTGCCATTCCACCCTGCATTCTTTGTGGGACAGTTTCTTAAGTCATCTGTTGTACCTTATTTGTAACAGTAGAAGTATTTTCAATAACAGTTTTCCTGGATTGCAGAGAGCTGGTTTTCAGTAACACCAGAGCGCATAGCAGAACATATTGCAGAGCGATGTCGTTGTGATATTGTTGTGGATGCTTTCTGCGGTGCTGGTGGCAACTCAATTCAATTTGCTTTCACATGTGCTCATGGTAAGTAGACTAGTACAGTATTATAGCAACTTATTATTATACTTCTAGATTGTTATTTGGAAAAGGCAACTGTTCTGCAGCATTTTAATATATTTTATCCTAATTATAGCAGACCAATTAATTTAATACTTTGGCATCCCATTTACTGTACCCTGACCCTATCATATCAGTTAATTTAACCCTTTGCTAATCCTAACATAAAACATAGTAAAATAAAAAACTGCCACTTCCAATATAAGGAAACAGTGATATCTTACTACAATTTAAATACCTTGGACAAATTTTGCTATAGCACCACACACTAATGTTTAAAAGGAACTGGGTTGAGAATTATATGCCACATTTTGGCAAATTCAATGTGACTGGAGACATGTTAGGTCTGTACTGAATTAGGTATGGCAGAGATTTAAATGTTTTTTTAAATCTTCAAATACCAAACATAATTTCCACTACATCCAGAAAATGCCATTATTTTGGCTTATATACTGATAGGTTCATGTTAGTTTTGAATTGTGGTCTTGTGGGTTGTGCTCTCAGCAGACCATGATCCACATTATCACCACCATGAAATACCGGGTCTACAATTTATGAGGCTGCAGTCGTGCTTGCATTGCATGGTCGGCTGGTGCTCTGTTGATGTGGGCGGGAATTTCCCAAGAAGAGCTTCGTCGAGTATTTCAAAACATCTTAACGAGATGTGAAGCTTGCTTGCAAGCACAAGGAAGTCACTTTGAACATCTTTTGTGATTTAAGATAAGAACAATTAATGTAATAACATGTATTAGTGATGAGAAATATTCGTAGTTCGCTGTTACTAGCAGCACTGAAACTGATTTGTCGGTCACCCACCGGAAGAACGCGCACAACTCCCGCCCACATCAATAGAGCACCGGCCAACCACACAATGCAAGCACAACCACAGCCTCATAAATTGTAGACCCGGTACTTATATAGCTTACATTAGTTTCTCTGTTTATGCATTGAAGTAATCAAGTAGTATCACATAAACATTGCATCAAAGAGATTATTGTATTTCATTATCATGTTTTTTTTTACATCCCTCATTGTTTATGCTCCATATGCCAAAATAAGCAAGAAATATTTTAATCTTATGGATTGCATCCTGTTGTTAGTAAACAATATATGAGAATAACTGTCTCACAAAGTTTTATTCTGAAGCAGTTATATTTTGCTATTAATAATATGTTCTAATTTACTGGATCTTGATTATGTCTATAATTTATTCTTCATTGTTTACATTAAATTGAAACATGCATTGCAGGATTTAAATCACATCTTGTAAACAGTGGCTATTGATAGATAACATAATACAAATTTCACAGTTCAGCACATTATAAATAATTTGTACTTCCTTTTTATCAAATGTGTTATGATTACTTATTAATTAATTTAACATCTTTTAACATGTATAAGAATCAAAACATCTGTTTTTTGTTAGTTCCACATCCACTTTCCACCATTTACAGTGAAATGCCTGCCTGTTTGTCACCACATGTAGTACAAATAACTCTTTGAACAAGTTAGATGATTTAAAATTACAGGGTTTCTGGACTTTGTCTATTGTCTGATATTTAAAAACACATTTCAGAAACAGTAAAGTCCAGAAACACAGTAATTTTAAATGTAGTATGCTGTTATCAGAACCCTTTAGAATCATAGTTAGATGATAACATCACTGTCTACATCTGAATAAAAAGAACATATCGCAGGCTGTCTGTGTCACTGAAAATGGAGGCAGAGCCAGCATCTGAAACATATTACAAGATTAATGCTTCACATTACCTCCATCTAATAATCCCACAGAACAAATACCCTTTCTGAAATTAGGTTTTCATGACAGTGAAAATGTGAACTGTGGTCTGCTGGGTGAAATGTTCCTCTGAACGTTGGTTACCACCTGCAAGACTACGGGGAATCATTATAACCCAGAAGACCATCGGTACCCATTTGTTTTACTGGAAGACAGGCAAAGCATCCTAGGCCTAGTGATAAGAACTAGCTTTATCTAATGGTCACACTGGGTAGGCAACCTTTCTGTTATGTGAAGACAAGAACAGAACCATCAATCTGGACATCACACGTTTCTTTATCCAGACGGTGGTCAATGTCCAAAGAAGGTACTCTTATGTTGTGAAATCATTTCAGGCAATCATCTGTCAGTGTGGGAACTCATACACTAGTTGCACAACTGATTGCTTAGAAAGACTTCACCACTGTCACTGTAAAAAATTTTACAATAACGATACTAACAAGGCAATGTTATCAGACTTGGGTGAGGGATCACTAGAAATCGGTGGAAAATACAGATACTCCTCTCCTTTTAATCCTTTGGGCCTTAGTTTCTGAAATATATGCTTTAAAAGTCTCCCCTTTGCTATGTCTACTTTCCATTGATCCTCTTTTCATTGAAATCCCTGACTTTAGACTGATGACCTATCATTGTAAGTCACAAATTTTCACATTCACAACCCTAGTGCAGTGCATTATTTTTGTATGAGTGAAAAAAAAATTTCTTGCTGAGTGTCACTGAGGTAGCTGGCTGACTTAACATTGGGGTCCCTTTATTTTATGGGTTCTTATACTAACAGTGTATATCACACCTGTTTCAATTAATTTCAGTAATAGCAATAGACATTGACCCAAAGAAGATAGCTCTTGCTCGTCATAATGCTGATGTGTATGGAGTTGCTGACCGAATAGAATTTGTGGTGGGAGATTTCCTGAGATTGGCCCCTTCTCTACATGCCGATGTGGTCTTCCTCAGCCCTCCTTGGGGAGGACCACAATACCTGAATACAGATGCCTATGACATTGAAAGTATAATGCAACCTTTTGGAGGCTCACAGTTGTACAAGGTTTCTTTGAGCATCACAGAGAACATTGCTTATTATGTTCCTCGCAATATCAACACAGACCAGGCAAGTGTATTAAACATCCAAGGCCATTTACTGTGTGTGTGTGTGTGTATATATATATACATACACACACAAGTTTAAAGCTGTATTCTCATTGAATTTGCTTGAGTTACATATAACTTTCTCATTTTTTGTCATTGCTTATTTGGCTTGATTCAGATTATAACTGTTGTGAAGGTAATCACAGAAATTTTTATTGCATTTCATTAAATATTCACCATATTGGAAAGTTGTAGATCAACATCCATATGTATGAAGATGGCTGTCTTCTGGATTGTAATATTGTGTAGTCAGGTAGAAGAGGTACTTTCTGCCTCCATCAGGGCCCTGAAGCTTATCTCCTCAAATTCAACAAGTTTGAATGTTTTTTGTTGTGTCGTTGCAGTTGGTGATGCTAGCTGGACCAGGAGGACAGGTAGAAATAGAACAAAACTTCCTAGATAAGAGGTTGGTTGCAATAACTGCATATTATGGAGAATTAATACATGAGTAAGTATAGGGTAAATAAAAACATTGAAAGGCTTGGTAAACTCATTTCACATATTTTAATTAGAATCCCATATATCTCGGGAGAAAATCCTACATCTTGCATACATACATTATTTATTGACAACCATCATAGCTTCACATATTCCACAAGCTATGCAATGTCATTTGCATAAATGTGTCTTAATTGGTTTATGTTCATTACAGTCATGTACTGCTTTTTATGTATCATTTTATTTCTTTTATAGCCAAATATATGTACTTTTAATAAAAAAGTATTTATTAAAATTTTATGGCTCCTACTTGTTCTTGGCATGACATTTGAGATGTTGAGAAAGTAGTGTATGAACAGTCTTGCCGCACACAAAAGTGTATAGATTTTGAGAAATTTGCAAAGGTAAGCAAATATGAAAGTTGTAGAAATGAGAACACTGTCCACACTGATGCAGAATGATAAAAAAACAGTACTTGATGTGCAATTAGGCCATCCTAATGAATTTATGCTTGCTGCTTGGAAATTGCACTTTTTTTAATGGTGACACTCCAACAAATAAAAATATTTTGTATTGAAATGTACCTCTTACAGTCTTGTGCACATGTTGGACCCAACTAGAATGTGTGTATAAACACAATACTTTCGGAAGAAACTGAAGGCATGAACTTTAAAAATACAAATGTATCACATAAGTGGCATAATGTTCATACCATGTTTCATGAAAACCCACCACTTGCATCTAAACACATTAGAAGAGATCAAAGATCTTCCCTGCAGTCATCTGTCTAGTCATAACCAAGGAATAGAAATTTGAGTACAAGCTGTGGTTTTTGAACAATACAAATAACAAGCCTGTCACTATGATAGTGTTTTATTGAAGACATACTTCTTCTGGTGCAGGCTCCTAATTAATCGATGTCAACATACAACCTAAGCACTTGAGAAATATACATATATAACCTGGCTGTATGAGTTGCTAACAATTCAAATAAAACTTTGTCAACATAAAGGATAAGGTGCAGAAATATGTCCTGTGTGAAAGGTGTATGGCAATACAATATACTCAAAAGAAATTCAAATGCCTGTTTAAAAGTCACACTGTAACATTAAGAACAAAGTATATTCTCAAACTGAACTCTGCTGTCCTTGTGCAATTTTTCATCACAGGCATAACAAACACTCACAAACTTGGGCCTTAAATGTTAACGTAATTACAACTCTCAGTCTTTCATTTCTCCTTCTTCGTCTTCCTCCTCTACACCACGAATGTACAAAACATTATTACACCTGATTAACACTTCCCCTAAGTTTCCTGTTGGTGATGCGTCAATATATTCTTCGGTATTCGCTAATTGAAGATTCATGTAGCCATCTACTGAAATCAAGAATCCTTTATATTCATGGCCCCATTTCAGTTTCACCATTACCGGTTTCCCAACAAGACTGTTGAGGAAAGGTTTGGGGTTTATTGGCATTGCCGCCGCCATCTTATCCTATAAAAAATAATATATTCGAATTTAAACAACACACCAAAATGTCAATTTACAATATATAATAATTTTTAAGATAAGCCATGAAAACAATACCTTTATTTATTTACTTTTTAGTTACGTTCACCGCACTATCTCACAACACAAACCACGCTATGAGGCACCAAATGCGTTTCACGTTCTGAAGTATCAGAGACAATCATCACAGCAAAGATTGTATTCCGTCATGGCCTTCCCCGTCTGTTTGTAAGACGGTGAAACATGAACATAAGCAAAGCATAAGCCAATTAGAAATAGCAGGTGTGCGTTTCCTAAGGTCAATCAAAGACAGACAAAAATGTTCAGAAATCAAAACATTAGAAATGAATTGGGAATAGAGTTAGTATAATAGTACATAAAATAAAATGCAGATAAAAATGAAGATTACACATAAAACGAATGCCTGACGACTGAGTACTAAAACAAATTCTGGAACACCGACCAAGCGACGTCTGAAAACGAAAAACCTGCAACATAATTTATGAAGACAGAATAAGATAAGAAATGGGTGGGAATTTTCTTTGAAACTAAAATTTGTGATCTGTGGTCTCTACTGATTTCTTGGCTTGTGCAAAGAAGAAAATTATTATTTATAATAATATGATTTTACCCTTAATATAGCATCAAGTTTCTGCATATAATCCGAAGTGTCCTTTAAATTAAATTTCTGAAAAATATTAAGAGATACGGTTTCTCTCGGGTGTTACAAACATTCAAGACGAATTTGAAAGGCTGTGGGAGAATAGCAGACGACGGTGCTGGTACAGTAATCTATGACACAAGACCTTCCTAGTCCTCGAAATTTATATACTACGTATAAAGATGCTGTCCAGTACAAGAAAAGTCGGTCAGATATTTGTAAGTTTGGAAGGGTTTGCATATGTTGTATTAAATGCTGTGTGGTTGACTATTCGAGTAATGTTATAATGGTATTATGAACTTTTTAATTAGTAGATACACTTTGCTTTTATTATCGTTGTGGCTAATTATTGTGTATTAAAATACCAAAAACGTGTAGCAAGTCGTTTCAGTACTTCTTAACGATTATAGAAAGAATGAACAATGACACTATAACCATAACAACAGAAGACCCAACAAAGTACCTTACTCTAGCAATTCACAAAACCTTCCTAAACACATATCATATGCTCACAACAGTAAATTACTTTAAAAGTACAATAAATTCTCCTAAATCAAAAACAAAAATCATGTAGTTATGATGAAATAACTTTACTCAAAATCTGTGCAGGTTATGTTAATTCCTTCAAGTTATCTTTTCATTCAATCAATAATTCATTCAATAATGTAGGAGTTTTCACAGAATGACTTAAATATTGAAACGCCAAACTTATAAATAAGAAAGGTGAAAATGGTGAATTTCTAACTACAGACCAATTTCATTGGTAACAGCTTTCTTCAAAATATTTGAGAATGTCATGTATAAGAGAATAGGTGACTGTCCTAACTTAAACAATTCCCTTGCAAGTGAACAGTTTGGATTTAGCCACTCACTTTATAAAGCCATTTTCAATTTTACAGATGAAATCTTAAGTGCTCATAATAATAAATTCCATATTAGCGGAATATCGTGTGATCTTTGTAAAGCATTTGATTGTGTAAGTCATGAATTGTTACTGTCAGAACTAATTCAAAATATATGTGGTCAGTGGTTTAAATTATGCGTTCATGACAGAAAGCAACAAGTAGAAATAAAATCACCGGATTCAAATAATAGCACCTATTCAGATTGTTGCATTATAAAACATGGCATTCCTCAAGGTTCAATACTTGGTTCTCTGCTTTTCCTCATATATATCAATGATTTACTGCCATCCATTAACTATTAGTCAAAACCTTTACTTTTTGTGTATGATACTAATATTATTATTTCACATCCAGAAACTTTCCAAATCTGCATGAAGATGCCTTTACTAACTTGAACAAACAGATTAAAGCCAGGTGACTCACATTACATTTTGACAAAATATATTTAATTAAATTTTGTACCACCAACAAAAATTGTGTTAATCTAGGTAGAAGGTATGAGGATAATACAATTGAAGAAGCAGAAACAGCTACATTTCTTGGCATTTGAATTGATAATAACTTCAACTGGAAAACACATCTTCAATACATTATGCTCAAACTAAGCTCAGCACGTTTCACTTTAAAGACTGTCACACCAGTCATAAAAACAAAAGCATTAAAATTAGTCTCCTTTGCATACATTCATTCAATTATGTCATATGGAATTATTTTCTGGGGAAACAACGGGCAGCAAACAAGTATTTAATGTCCAGAAGAATATAATTATAATAATGGCAGGCATTAAAGAGAGAGCCTCACATAGGGAATTGTTTAAGAAATTTAATATTCTTCTACTAGCCAATGAATTCTTGCTCACATTATAATAATTTGTTGTGGACAACATAGAAAAATGTCTTACAAACTCAAATATCCACAATATAAGTGCAAGATACAGATATAACCATCATATGCCAAACACTAAACTCAGTTAATATCAAAAAGGAATTTATTGTACAAGAATTAAGCTATTCAATCCTCCTCCTCCTCCTCCTCCTCCCCCCCCCCCCCCCCCCCACTATGAAAAGTCTGAATCATAATATAAAGAAGATGTTTAAGCCAGCACTAAAAGAGTATCTCCTGTCTCGCTCCTACTCCATAGAAGAATTTACCTCAACCAAAAACTCTCAGCTACTATAAATATGTGTAAATAATAGTGGGTATGTTTCTTGTGTAATTATTTTTTGCGGTAATACTGTAGTTGAGTGTAAATTATTGTCATAACTTTGTAATTTATATTAGTATTGGAAACAAGTATTGTATTTGTGTCTTGACATGTTCTACATCCTTGGCTTAGGCCTCAAACTATCTATGGAATGTAAATAAATTCTATTCGGTATTTACAGTATATTTAGGAACAGCTGCCATCATAGAAATAGTAATGAATCGATGTCATTCTCATATGCATCCAAACCCATAATTTTACTACGCAGGCATTATACTGAAATTAATGTAAGGTTTTTCTTTTAATAGCTACGGAATTCAAATACAAGAAATCTGCAAAGTACGTGTTGTGCTTTGAGCGATACTTTGTTTGTGGTAAGTGCTTATATTTAACTCTGGTTTACAATTTGAAAACTTATAAAGGAATCTATAGTTGTGTAATGAAAAAATGCATTTGCATTCCTTACAGCACAGAGACACACAAGAGAACAATCCTGATGTGCATTTTGAATTTACTTCAGAGAATTTGAAGGTAAGGAAATACACTATCATGTAATGCTTGGTAATAACTGAAGAAACTGTTTTTATTTTGTTAGCAAGAGACTGAAACTTGAATGGCATTAGCAACATACTGGGTCTAGTCTTCTTTGTAGACTTTGCAGTATTAGATTTGTGTCTTGATGGACTTATAGAACTGGATACTAATTCTCATACTTTTTCACCTCCTGTACAGTCCTTGTACATCAGTCAAAATGTGCATGTTCAAATGTGAGTCATTTATATCAACAATATGTAAAAGTGAACAGTTGAACATGTAGTATGATATGATGGGGAATCTGTAAGATTTTCCTATTATACTCCACATATTATATATCTTTTCTGTTACCTAAACCATGTTCGCTTGTAGAATGGTTTCCACAATTACACTAATTTTAATATTTTACTAAATAAGCTTGTCAGGTTTATTTTTTTACCTTTCATATTAGTATTATATGAGCCGGGATAGCTCAGTCAGTATAGTGACTAGCTACGGGCTGGACGACCGGGGGCAGAGGATTTTTCCTCTAGCCTCTGCGTCCAGACCAGCTCTGGGGCCCACCCAGTCTCCTATCCAGTGGGTACGGGGGTCCTTTCCCGGGTGTAATGCTGACCACTCGCCCCCATCTAGTGCCGAGGTTAAGAATGAGTAGGAGCTATACCTCCACTCCCCCCAAGCGCCTACGTGGCGTATAATAGGACAGCTTTACTTACTATAGTATTGTATTACCTGTGATCATCAATTTAAAAATTGTATTAAAATTGAGAAATAATAGTTGTTGAAATATGTGTAAACTGTTTAAGTTTAAAAAAATTGCAAATGTTTGTTTATTAGCTTTCACACATATAACAACTGGAGAATCGCTGAATGGATTTTTATTCAGTTTGAGGTTGAAGAATAATACTACATTCTGTCAACAAATTCCAATTTTGACTAAAATTGGACATTTTACTTGAAGGCCAAAAACCTTTCTATGCATGGCAATGTCTGGGTTAAAGTCCTCAGACTAACTTTGCTACTATGTTTATAGTGGTTATTATAGTTTCTATGGTTACCTGTGAAATACACAGCCATCTGGACATGTTTTGTGTCACTGATGCCATTCACAAAGTTACATTCAGGTGAGTGAACTATAGTTCTTATTGTTTATCTGCATTTCCTAACTTGTTCGATATTTTAAACTTTTTTTCTTTGAACCAGAGGATTTGAAATGTGTTATTTGCCATAAATATACTCGTTATAATGATATTAAACTGTATGAAAATTTTTAAAGTTATTTTCCCTGTTTAAAGTTTCTGTATTTCTTAATGTTATGTGCACTGTTAGTGGTTATCACTTTTATTCCATGTTTTATTATAATCCCATGTTAAAGCGTGCAGAAGCCATCATGGCTATATATCCTGAAGGCCACAAGAAGGCAGCAGTTATTCCTTTGCTTGACTTAGCACAGAGGCAGCATGGGTGGTTACCAATTACTGCAATGCATAAAGTGGCTGAGATTCTTAATATGCCGAAAATGCGAGTGTATGAGGTTGCAACTTTCTACACCATGTTCAACAGGTACACTTTTCTGAATGTTTTGAAAGTATACTTCTGTGGAAATTAATTTAAAACTGCAGCATAGATGTGGCATAACATGGAAATTCTTTCGGATTTTGGAATGTGATCTAAAAATCAATGCGGAGAAGACCAAGTAATAGATTCATATGTCTTCACCAAACTTCAGGATAGATTCATAATACAAAGATAGCTAGTACATCCTTGGAAAATATTATGAAGTTCAAATATATGGGAGCAAAAGTAACAAATAACAATTACCCTAATGAAGAAAATAAGAGCAGACTAAATTTGGGGAACGATTACTGCCATTCAGTTCTGAATCTTTTGTTTTCCTGTCAGCTTTATAAAAACACATTAAAAATATATATGAAGTATAATGTTATCTGTTGTCTTGTTATAAGGCAGATAAAATGAAGTAGGGTGTGATAGACCAGGCATCTAACATGCATGGAAGAGATGAGAAATGGATACATAACCTGAAAGGAAGACAGAAGATTTAATTTTGGGGGGATGTTTGAAAAATATATATTTTTTAATTACTGCCTTTTATTATATACAGTCACAAATCAGCTATATAAATACTGGTTCCTTTGTCACTAGATTGTTTACGTCAACAAAATTTTGTCAGAATAAGCATTTTTTCATGTCAGCCAAGACATTTTGATGTGGGGAGTGACAAGTTGAACCCTTCTTATGAATGGTCTTGATTACAAAATATGACAAGCAAAACTTCACAGCCATTCTTACACTGATCATCCCAATGTTGGTAACAATTTTCATTGAACCCTGAGACATCAGGTTACTTGCCTGTATGATTTGATATAGAATGACATGAAGGTCAAATCCCAGATGTTCTGAAAATGATCAAAGAATATTAAGCACTGCAACATAGTTTCCTTTTATGCTGTGACAGAAATCCAACAGGCAAGTACCATGTACAAGTATGTACCACAACACCATGTTGGCTCCGTGGATCAGATGATATCTTGAACTGTATCAAGAAGAAGCTGAATATTAAGCCAGGAGAGATGAGTGCTGATGGACGATTCTCTCTATCAGAAGTGGAATGTCTTGGTGCTTGTGTTAATGCTCCAATGATACAAGTCAATGATGACTATTTTGTAAGTTTGCCTTTGTACATCTTTCAGCGTTTAGCCATAATTATACATTAAATTACACCTACTTCCTTTCTTTGCTCTGGTTTATTTTCTGTAAAAATGTGATAGTCAATTTAATTTTTGTTCACATCAGTATAGAACATGAAAAAATGTTGATATATGTTTCAAATATATGGCAAAAACAGTTATTTATCTGTGAATTTTATGTCACACATTCTTATTTATATATACAAATTGTATTAAATGAAATATTATTATATGTAATAGTTGTCCCCAGTGCAAGACTTTGAAGTTATATCTGGATTTTTTTAAGGTGACTGGTACACTGGGTGAAATTATTGCATAGAAATGGATTTCTAACTTTTACATATATTAATTTATAATTCCAGCTAATCCCTCATTATTTAATTGTTTGGAGGAAAAGTGCTTGTTTGAGATGGCGTGTGATATCCTTTTGTTAATTACTTATTTTTATGCAGGAGGATTTGACAGTGAAAGATACTGAAGAAATTTTGGAAGATTTGAAGAAAGACCAAATACCCAAAGCAGGGCCCAGGTATGATGACGGGTTGTGTACAATCTTGTGTTTGCAAATATTAACAGAAATATTTCTAATGTGGAACATTTACTTGATATCATTCCAGATTATGCAGAGCATGTATGTTAACATTTTACTGCAGCAAAATTGTGAGAAAACTGATACTTTAAATTTATAAAATGCATTTTATTCCCCATCTAGCTCCATATATAAACATATGATGGTTAATTATGTTGTGTATATATATATATATATATATATATATATATATAAGGAAACAAAGAAAAGAAAAGACATTTAATATGAGTTGCTACTAGAGCGAAAAGCCCGTTGAAATACAGCAAGAAGCTGTATTTAGTGTTTTTGTTTGTTTCAGAAATGGGCGCTTTGCAGCTGAACCCATAGGTGAACTGACTAGTCTAAAAGGGGAACCTCCAGGTCCTGGATTTGGTGTGAGATCAGATTTGTAATAAAAGAAATGTATTGGCTTTAATAGAACCAGCTGCAAGAAATGTTGGTGTTATTCATTCTTGTATTCACTTAATATTTTTAGCTTGTAATTAACATAACTGCTGTACTGCATGTATTGTTTTATAAATACAGAATGTTTACATAAACATATTTTGGCCCCTTATTTATTGTTAAACTATGTAGGCATAGAGTTATTTATTTTAAAATACATGCTTTGGGAATTTTTGTAATACCTTGTGTACAGGTCCCTGATATTTGTGATATCTTTCAGGTTGGCAGAAAGACTGCTTCTGTCCATTACACAGTTAAATATGCATGTTATTGGTGCTGTCCACATGGCTACTACCAATGGAATGTGGTGTAGCTGTATAAAGTGAATTAAAGGTACTGTAAAAATTAGTGTTAAACTGTGGGCTCATGTTCTTGAAGGATTGATTGATTGCAGTCGCTATTATACAGCTTATAGTCTTCATAAAGTAAACAAGTAAAGCTGTCCTGTACATGCCATTTAGGCACTTGTGAGGAGAAGAGGTGTAGCTCCTACTCATTCTTGACCTCGGCACTAGATAGGGGCAAATGGTCATTGTCACACCCTGGCTGTGCTTTACCCTCAGGAAAGTGCCCCAGTACCCATTGGACAGGAGGCTGGGTGGGCCCCAGATCCTGTCTGGATGCAGAGTAGAGGAAAAATCCTCTGCCCAAGTGGGGCCAAAGTATTTGTAAATAGTGCCCTTCTAATGTTTAAGTTGTGTAAGAAGACAGGATATAAACCAAGACATGAAATAGTCCAACTATGGGCGACTGAGTGGCTGAAAGATAAATAATTTTAAATTTACATCCAGTTGCTGTTGTCATTATAAACACTGCATCATATTACAATGTTCAACTGGATCCTGCTCCCACTTCAGCTTCAGCCAAGGGAGAGATGATGTGGCAGTCATCACAGAGTATTCCATTCATACTGACAGTACTGAACAATGAACTATGAAATGATTAATAATGTACATTCCTAATTCAAAGTGTGTAAAATTGACTCACTTCGGGCAATTTTCAGTCATTCTGTATTGTCCAATCTCCATTTATTAATTGGGAACTTTCCATCATTATCGAAGCAGGTGGCTGTTTTACCTATCATAAAGAAGGAAACAGGGAGGTCTTATTGGTAAATATTGAACCATCTCAATTTTAAATAATATTTCCAACGTTTTTTGAAGTATACGTGGTCACTATTCCTTCAACAGTAAATCTAAGTTACACTTAAATCAGCATGATTTTATTAAATCAAAATCTATGGTAACTAATTTAGTATCATACCCTGTTGATCTTACCCAGGCCTTCGATAAAATTCCTATCTTTTATTGGATAAGCTAAACAATTTTTAGTGTTTTTATTTTACATTAAGCAGGCTGTTTATAGATTAGAACTTACTTTCCTTGTGTCTTAGGAAAGTTTTCTTCTTTCTGTATTGTCAGGAGTTCCACAAAGCTGTACTCTTGGGCGTCTTTGTTTAATAGTTTTATTAATGATTCGATAGGAACAGTGCATTAAGACACAGTCCTTCAGTTACATTTGCCATTGCTGCAAATGACACTGAGAAAGAAAATAACAGAAATTTGTTCCACCTATTTTGACAATATTGCTTTAGATTTCAAAGTAAAGCATCCTAATGTAATTGCACGATCGGCTCAAGGATATTTGGCGCTCTAGACCAGTGGTATTCAACCTGGGGTACGTGAGATTTAAAAAATATATATATATTATTTTATGATAAACACTGAATAATCAGTAATGTAATTTATTTTCGATGTAGATTATATAATATGTATAACTTGAATTATACACCAACAGCTTTGGGGGTACAAAGTTGAAGAGAAATTATACCTGGGGGTACGCGAACAAAAAAATGTTGAATACCTCTGCTCTAGGCGAATCTTAAGCCTTGCGTCTGCGCTCTCTTTCCCCCACCCTTTTTCGAATGGTCACATGTAGACCACTAAAAACACTACCATATGTATAAAATACAGTCTTGTTTACGACATATTACAAATCTACGAACGCGAATATGGGCATAAAAAGGCTTAAACATTCCATTACGTTATTTTCATTAACTTAGTTTTAAGCTCTCCCAATATTGCCGCTGTAGACGACCGCCTAATTTGGTTAAACCGGCAGTATGCAGATATAACGAAATTACGTGAACCATGAGTCTTTAAACTCTTTTCGGATTTTCCTATTTTTATTGACATATTTAATAGCGCTGTGTAACTGTTACCATCGCTGACTTCTTACAAGACATTTTAATCTTTGGACCAGCGAAGTAATGATGAAAATTAACGTTTTGAGGAAAGCACAATCTCCATGCTACAGAAGTATTAATATAGGGAAAGCATTCCTTCCATTACCGTTTTATTTAGTTCGGCATTATTAAAAAAAGACCTTTCCCCTAGTTCAGATTTTTTGCTGTTCGAAACCACTGGCCGTTAAGTCTATAATTAAAATGGCTGAGTTGTAGTGCCATGACGTTTCAAAGGTATATGCTGCCTCCATCAACAGGATGAGGCAGCAAGCAACCTAGACGACAACCAATTTCATACTCGCTGCCGTGAGAACCTCAGATCTTTCTCCAAAATGAAATGTCCATCGGACTAATTTGTGTGGACGTCTGTTCGGAGAACGTTCCTAGCAATGACCAATATGTGTTTTAGAGTCTAAGACAAATAGTGTTAGACTTTCATAAAAACTTTGGCTTTTGTATTTCCGACAAATTACATTTGAAACTGTAAATTCATGAACAGCGAATCAGAACACACCTCTCTGCTCTAGGCGAATCTTAAGCCTTGCGTCTGCGCTCTCTTTCCCCCACCCTTTTTCGAATGGTCACATGTAGACCACTAAAAACACTACCATATGTATAAAATACAGTCTTGTTTACGACATATTACAAATCTACGAACGCGAATATGGGCATAAAAAGGCTTAAACATTCCATTACGTTATTTTCATTAACTTAGTTTTAAGCTCTCCCAATATTGCCGCTGTAGACGACCGCCTAATTTGGTTAAACCGGCAGTATGCAGATATAACGAAATTACGTGAACCATGAGTCTTTAAACTCTTTTCGGATTTTCCTATTTTTATTGACATATTTAATAGCGCTGTGTAACTGTTACCATCGCTGACTTCTTACAAGACATTTTAATCTTTGGACCAGCGAAGTAATGATGAAAATTAACGTTTTGAGGAAAGCACAATCTCCATGCTACAGAAGTATTAATATAGGGAAAGCATTCCTTCCATTACCGTTTTATTTAGTTCGGCATTATTAAAAAAAGACCTTTCCCCTAGTTCAGATTTTTTGCTGTTCGAAACCACTGGCCGTTAAGTCTATAATTAAAATGGCTGAGTTGTAGTGCCATGACGTTTCAAAGGTATATGCTGCCTCCATCAACAGGATGAGGCAGCAAGCAACCTAGACGACAACCAATTTCATACTCGCTGCCGTGAGAACCTCAGATCTTTCTCCAAAATGAAATGTCCATCGGACTAATTTGTGTGGACGTCTGTTCGGAGAACGTTCCTAGCAATGACCAATATGTGTTTTAGAGTCTAAGACAAATAGTGTTAGACTTTCATAAAAACTTTGGCTTTTGTATTTCCGACAAATTACATTTGAAACTGTAAATTCATGAACAGCGAATCAGAACACACCTCGCATAACATAGCTTCCAATTATTTTTCCCGCTCGAACAGGTTAGCCGCTGTGCGTTATTATAGCCGCTCGCTCATCTATGGTATAGGCTTTTTGAAGTGCCCCACGAAGTATATTGGCTATTCTGTTCCGTAGCGTCTGTTTACAGTTTGGCGTCGTAGAATTGTTTATACGCATTCGATATATTCGTATAAATAAAAATGAGGCGGCTGTCCATGAAGTCGAAGAAGGGAAAAGTTGGTGTTAATGACGGTGAAAGCACACATCAAGATATAGAAGGCGAAGAAAATGTCACTGAGAGCGATAATGAATCTGCCTCTGGTGAGGGTGCGAAAGTCGATTTGAAACGGAAAAACAAACGGGGTAGAAAGAAAGGAAGTAATGTGGGGGACGACGGTCATACAGAAGCTAAAAAGAAGAAGCGAAATGTTGGTGTAGACGATACAGCTGAGATTGAGGTAAGTAGATGTGGAAATTTTTGAAGTATTTGTCAAATTATGATGGCCAAGTAGTTATGATTAATGGTGTGGAGGCAGATGGTAACATGCTATTGCCGAAATGAATTAATAGATTAATAAATGAAGATATTAACAAACAGTTTTAATGCTACCTTGACAATGAAAAATGAGAATCTGCCGAGACAAGTGGAAAAGAATTTGTTTTAAAACACGTTGGACTATGAACCACAGTGTTGTCCTGATGTTCACAAGCTTTATACAGCACACAAAAGATCACTACAAAAAGTACAGCTAATTCCTGCCAAAGTTATTAACCTTCATTGCCCTTGCACTGAATCTTACACACGTTCCAGGTTTGTGTGTCACTAGCATACTGCTAAACCATTGATTACAGTCAAAGTGTGATTGGTGGGAAGTAAACTGACTACTGTCAACAAATAATGGATGTATAAAAAAAATCCATTTGGAATGCACTAAGAGAGATAAGTAGTATGATGTACATGTGGAATTACCTCGCTAACAATAGAAATTAAATTTGTGCTGACTTAAATGCCAATGACACAATAAACCCATAGTTGATATAAATATATGTACATTACTCAGTTTGTACAGGATGCTTAAACCACCGAAGTTGTTGGTCCCAAAATTGGTAATTAAATTGGAAAGTTACATAGACCAGATAAAACCAAATTAAGTTCGTAGTTTTCAGTGAAGTTTCTTCAGTTTTTTGTTATGATAGAACTTTTTAAAGGCAGTGTGGTTTACATATTTTTGGTTAGTTGCGTCATATAGTACAGTTTTCTGCGAAACTCATCTAACATCAATAAGTTGTAATTTTGCAGAAGAAAATAATTTGAATTTTGGCCGTTGCTCAGAGAAGTTACATGTGTAGAAGTTTATTTAAGAGCGTTGCGTACCAGTGCTTATCTTTGAGTGTGTATTTGCTTTAATGAGGCTTAGCTGAAAACTATTAAGTTTTTAATCAAATGAATAGATTCATGAAGTCATCACTAGGCATAGATGAGATCTCCACAGAGAAGTTGCTAATTTACTGTGTACAAAAAATGCTTTCTTGATGAAAATTGTTTAAAGTATTATAACTATCCACCACAAGCCTGCTGGTCCTGTCACAGCATAATGAGACTCCCATTAGCCAGTATATTTAGGGTTCCTTTTGTGCCTTCTCAGCTTTCATAGTGCTACTTTACCTCACCACACCAAGCATTCATATACCTGATGTTACCCCCTGCCTATAGGACTGGTGTTGGAGTTGAACTATGTAAATAATATGTGACATCCCAAAACAAGGGAGGAAAAGGAAATTATAAAGTGCATTTGAAACAAATTTTAACATTTAATGTTGTGACATGGACCTTAAACAGAGAAACAGAAGCAGAATGAAAGCAGTGGGTATGAACTTTTGAGGAAAGAACAATAAGAGGTAGATTTATAAACAGCCCATAATCTATTTCTCTATCTCTCTAGAGTGAGGTTGAATCTGCCTCTAATGAGGATGCAAAAGCTGATACAAAACAGAAAAGCAAACATGGTAGGAAAAAAGGGAATAATATGGAAACAGAGGACAGTGCTACTGCAGAAATAAAGAAGAAGCAGAATGTTACTTTTGGTGAATCTGAGGATGTACAATATGGGGTGAGTGGATATAATGCTCATTCTTGTGTCAGCAGTCTCTGTGTTATAGGTCATATCTTGCACACAAAATAACTAATTAAAATGATACGTTTGTAGAGGTTGTTGCCACAGACTTCACATAATCTATTTCTACATCTATCTGTCTAGAGTGAGGCTGAATCTGCCAGTAGTGAGGATGCAAAAGCCGATTCAAAACAGAAAAGTAGATATGGTAGAAAGAAAGGGAATAATGCAGGAACAGAGGATAGTGCTACAGAAACAAAAAAGAAAAAGAAAAATGTTCCCTCTGGTGAAGAATCTGAGAATGTACAATATGAAGTGAGTATATTTAATGGTAGTCTTTGTGCCAGCAATTTCTGTGTTGTAGGTCATATCTTGCACACTAAATAGCAAATTAAACTTACTTTTTTGTAGATGATCTTTTGGGTTGTTGGAACAAGTAGATCGGTACAAAAAATTCAGAATATTGAGTTGGATCACAAGGAAGTGAACTTTTCCGTGGCTTGAAAAGTTGTGTGATGTGAATCTGCAGATTCAAGACTATTTTGAAGTACCTGTATAGCAACAAAGTTGAGGTTAATTTGATAGCAGTGATAATGCTTGTGTTGACCTGTAATCAGATCATCCCCAGACAGATGCTGTAATACTGTGTTATGTTTGAAGGTGGAAAGCATTGTCGACATGAAGCAAAACCATGGGAAGCGCCAGTTCAAGATTCGCTGGAAGGGGTATGGACCTGGTAATGACTCATGGGAGTATGAGGAAGACCTGAACTGTCCAAATATTATTAAGACCTTCCTAGACAAAAACAAAAATGAGAGAACAAATGAGAACAGACCTAAGAAACGGGCAGGGAAGGGCAGTAATAATAGGATCCCCAAGAAGACTAAGACAGGGGGACAGAAGATTGATGAGTCATCTGATGGGGAGGATGAAACTAAGGAATACGAGGTTAGTATGGTGTATAATCTAAAGTAAAGTTTGTTTGTATTACCCCTGTAGTGGGCATTTGCTTGTGTTTTTTTCTTTTCTGTTCATGTCTTTCAACTTACACATTGCACATTTAGTTGCCACCACTACACGTGTGAGCTATAGCAAAAATATCTTCAAATTTACTATTTTGGAGTTTTCCCCATTTGCGTGAAATTTTGTTGTTGACCGTATGGACCATTCCATTCTCACAAATGGTAGCATCTTGTCGATGTAGTTCCCAGCCAGGATGACGGTTTTCATTAAATTTAAAACAAAATGTTTTCTTTGATTTCCATAATAAACATGCACCTTTATAGTATCGTGGTTTGATTGGTCTTTTTATGTAGGTGGACAAAGTTATGGAGGTTCATTTCAAGAAAAATGGATCACGAGACTTCTTGATTCACTGGAAGGGCTTCTCTCATAAGGAGGACTCTTGGGAACCTGAGAAGAATCTGAACTGTCCAGATCTAATTGAGAAGTTTATGGAAAAGGTTAACAAGGCAAGTGAACCTATGATTGTGATGAAACTTCTCATTTTATATTCAGTTCATGTAGATACAATCCCACAAGATTTTTATATTTTTTTGCATTCTTCTGGAAGGTGATGAAAGAATCAAGGTGCATATTTGGAATGCTATGTCTGTCTATATGTTTAATCTCTGAAATTACTAGGCAGATTTTTATGAAATTCAGTATAATTTGGCATGTACTAGTCACTAATAAACCCCCCTTTACATGATTCCCATATTGAATTCTGTCAGATTTTTAAAAGTGGCTTATCGTAGAGAGAAAAATAGTGTACAACATATCATTTCAGTTTAATGTCATTACATTGTAGTTGCTTTTTGGTGTTGTGAATACTTTACAAAGTAAAAGCAAAAATTATTTATGGTTCTGCAGGGTTTTTTTTTTGTGTGTGTTTAGCTTCGCATTAATAGATAAATTAAAAGTCAAGTTGAATAGAATTATTTTCAAAAATATGAAACATTTTTGGGGAAACCATTATCATTTAGAATTAATATGTACAGCTAAGGTGTTGTGTTTGGTAAACAGGCCAAATCAACGGATACACGTGAATTGAGAGAAAACCCACAACACACAGATCGATTCACCCTGAATATGACTCAGGCTGGAAGGCGCCTAAGCCGACGGAATCAAGGGAAGCAGCGGTGAGTGGTGAACACCCTCAGTCTTTTGGTTTATAAATCTGTCTATAACCTTACATGAAGATTGTCCTAATATTTATGTGTATTGCTCATACCAAAATTATTCATGATTAAGACCAATGAGTTTTGTTTGTTGCCTGTAAGATCTGCTGTAATACTAATGGCAGAAGACAAGAGGTCTCATCAGGAGATGTTCAAAGTACATCGGCTTGAAATTTATGTGCATATTTAGTGTGTTAAATTGGAATTAGGCTTGTGTGAACATGAAAGTTTCAAGTTTAGCCTTAATTCATTCATGATTTTTAATCTCATAATGAGACTAGACAGTGCATGTCAGAAACCTTTGTGTGTTAAAATAACATACATATTGAAGTTGGCTGTCTTCTGGGTTTTTGAGCCATGTAGTCTGGTAGAGATTTATCAGTGTATCGAAGGCATTAAGAACCCTTGAAATGTCAGTAAACTTCTATCAAACAACATGTGCAACAACCCGCAAGACAGCCATTTTCATACTTGCCACTGTGAGAACCTCAAATTTGCATTATCTTGTATTTGCTTGTATTCACTGAAACTTTCTATGGTATATGGTACCTCTGAATGTATCAATAGAAACATGTGAAGTCTTTTTTGTAATGTTATTCTTGGGCTGAAAAATTGATTTCATATTATTTATAACATTATGACCATTTTGAATTCAGAATATAATTTGTGATACTTATTGCCAAAGTTAAGTAATTGTGGAGCTACTCATCCACTCCCCAGTATGTCTGCATGATGTACTTATTTAAGCACCAGGGACAATTGTACCTTAACATGTAGCATATCTTCATTGCAGTGTAAGATAAAATTCTGAACAAAAAATGTTTTCTAGGTGTGTATTAATGCACTTTTTTTCTGAGAATAAATCACACAATTGTATCTTATTTCTAGTTCAGATATTTGCTTTTCATTTGCATTTTGGATAAAGTAAAATGTTTATATTAGTAAATGTAGAGAAAATAAGATATATAAACTTACATGGGGGATATCTTTTTTTAGAACCTGGACCTTATTTTACTGTAGGCATTTGTTGATGTACTTATTTTTAAAAACCAAAACAACCAGTTTTGCTTTTTGTGTACATTTGGGAGAGAGATGTTGCTGTTGGTAAACATGGACAGAACAAAGATACAAGTGTCTTAATTTGGAGTTTGAATTTTAATCTGTTCATGCATATCTTTTAGGAAACTGAATATTACAGATGTTTCAATGCAGTTAATAATTATTCATAATAAAGTAGTTTTTCAGGTCCTACATAGCTTCAGTAGATCTGTGTGCATGGAAATATTATACATTAAATATTTAAATGCTTGGACTTTAGAAATGTAATATAGGACATTTGTAGTGCTGCTTTGCTCCCATAAACATTGATTCAGTAGCACAGTAATTATTTCTTGCATTGGTTAGTGGAATACATGTTGCAGTTTAAAAGGGAAAACTACAGGGTGATTCTAAAAGGACTTTACAACTTTGAAAGTGTATAGAAATTTATTCAGAAGGCTTACAGAATCGGTTGAGGTGTCATTTTGTAGCAAAACAAATCAAGTTTTACCTCAAACAATCATTTTAATTCGATGTGATACGGCAGACATCCCACCTGAAATCTAATTTCTTGCCAAACACGATCCAGCATATGCGGTGTCACTTATGCAACTGCGGCGGTGATTCGAGCCTTGAGCTCAGTGAGATTGGTAGGTAAGGATGGAACAAACACACGATCTTTAATGAAACCCCATAAGAAATAAATCGAGAGGTGTCAAATCTGGAGAACGAGGTGGCCATGCTATCGGCCCTGTTCGACCAATCCACTGACCTGGGAAATGGTTATTGAGGAAATCCTGGACTTATGTGAGGTAGTGAGGTGGTGCGCCGTCTTGCTGGAAGTGAATGTGTCCTTCTTGGTCATCTTCGTCTAACTGTGGTATGAGAAAATTTTCGAGCATATCCAGATACACGATACCGTTGATGGTTCTCTCATGGAAAAGGAACTTTGCTAAGGGCACAAAACACATTCGCCTTTGGGCTGTCACAAACATGTTCCAGAGATGCACGTGGATTTTCGCTGCCCCAAATCCTGCCGTTGCAGGTGTTCACCTTACCACTGACATGAAATGTTGATTCATCACTAAAGATTATGTAGTCCAGTAATGTTTCGTCTTCCCCTATCCGATGCAACATTTCTGCACAGAATTCCTGACGAGCCACTTTATCTTAGTAATTTCTTGCACAATGGTAAATCTGTATGGTTTTAAGTGCAAACGTTTGTGGAATGCCAGTCTCGCGAGACGCACGTCACGTTGATTTCGCAGGACTACAGACAAAGCTCTCCCTCACTCGTTCCACGACAGCATCAGAAACACGCGGGCGACTGGAGAGTTGTCATGACGAACAAAACAACCAGTCTCAACAAAATTCTTGTGCCAAGAGTAAATTGTAGGTCTACTGGGAGGATCTTTGCCATACTGGGTGTGAAAATTCCGTTGAAGCATTGTCGAAAATTTCGTTTCTTCAAACCAAACCACACAGCGAGCGCGCTCCGCACCTGTGAAAGTAGCCATTTTGAAATGCACTGCCGCTTGCGCTCGCGGTGACGGAATTCGGTACTACAGCACAATGTGAGTCAAACTTGATTTGTTTTGCTACAAAATGACACCTCAGCCGATTCTGTAAGCTTTCTGATTAAATTTCTATACACTTTCAAAGTTGTAAAGTCCTTTTAGAATCACCCTGTATTTTTCTGTTCATATGGTGTTTCAGTGTTTGATATGTAATCTACAGAATTTACATTTTAGAGATGTGTAACAACATTCCTTCCAAACTTCATTCCAACTCATAATAAACAATAAATAACCATTGGAAGCCTTCTGTAATCTTGCATCTATCTTACTGTTGTCATTAACAACTAAATAAAAATTAAAAACAATAAACGTTTACTGCTGTAATTTATTCTGTCAGTGTATCAGTTTCTTCAAATTGATAGGCATAGCACAATGACATTTTTTCCTGTGGTGGTATGTCCGTCAGCTGTGCATGAGAGTTTTAGAATACTTTGTTTAGTGTAGAAATATTGCTGTAGTTCACTAACAAAAAATTTCTATGCTTTGAATATTATTCTGTGTTCATTCAGTTTAGTTTAGTGTTTCCCTCGCCTTCTTTAGCAGAAAGTCACATACCTCATTCATTTATTGAAGTATTGTCATTTGTTTTACACCTAGAGCAGACAGAAATAAAGATTTTGCTTGAAATGATTCGCTTGTGCATACATATCAACATATTTTCTGATTTAAATGTCACACATCTTTGACTGAACAGTTTTCAAGTGACATTTTATTACTTTAAAAAATACTGACATACACTATGGTTAAGTAATTTGTTTTCTTTTATTTATAATTTTATTAGAACCTTTACAAAATGGAAAACTAACTAATTTGATAATTTTACTGCTCTTATGGCATTGTCTTGAAATTTTTCACTGAATTCCCATTCTGTAGCACAGTAAACTCCTGATTATCCAGGCTAATTAAGGGGTGAAGATGCATTGATAATAAGAAACACAGCTAATCCAAAATATTTTGTTTGATACATTCACAAAATAGCATGAATTATTGCACTTTCCCCACAACTGATGTTTATTTTGAGAAACAGGTTGTAATGGTCACTTGTTTTTTGAACTGCCTTAGATTCTTTGTCAAAGCAGTATGAATTTCCCTGGTTGCAGTAATGTCACTGTATTTGAACCCCCTCTAACCCAGTGTCATCACACTAGCATCATTCTGTGACTTATACATTCACTACTTTCTTCTTCTTCACTCTCATCTTCCCCACCCTCTTCTCCCTTTTGTTTTGCAGCAATTTGATGTCTGTTGTGTGCTGGAAGCCTAGTTCACACATGACTTTGTACCAATTCTTCATTGACATTTTCAAAGCTTCTCATAGCACAATGTCAAGAATTTTTTGACTTGCTTATTTCTCCATTAGAAAAATTCTTGCAGATCATCATAATCTAGATCTTGATAAATTTTCCTCTACAATTAAACCAGTGTCACTAGATTCATGGAAGACCATGTATAGCATCAAACAATCCAGAGGTCTGCGTGGGCCAAAAATGTTGAATTTTCACCTGGTCCAACCCAAGGAGCATTTGGCCCAAGCCTGAAATTTATCTTAATGTTTATTACCTTTACCGCTTCTAAGCCTGACTTCCTTTCATTCCAGCCTGAATGAAGCCCAGTCTATTTACAGTCTGCCTTATCATATCATAATATACATTTCTTTCAATCCATAAATGCTAGTAATCATTGAATGAATCATATGATGATGCTCTAAGACCATCTGAGGTTATTTTAGTGTTTGTAAGGTGTCATCTTGAACTATTTCTGGAAGGGACAGCTATGAAAATCCCTGAGGAAATCAAGTTGGAATTTGTTTACAGAGCCTATGTCACAAACATAAAATAAGTGCAGCTGTGAATAACTTCACGTTTGCAGAAAGAGAATAATGGCCCAAGAAAACCTGAAATGTTGTATATAAAGTTTCAACCAGGCCTGGACCTGATCATTTCTGCACTACTAGTCCTAGGCCCATGCAAACCTCTACAACAGGTTTTTTTAATTTCCTTCTTTCCCCCATAATATTGTCTTCACTGGCAAGAGTTTTGAGGTCAGCCAAGAAGTGTTCCAAATGTACTGTGCCAATAAACTATTTTTTTTCTGTGAGGTTGGTGAAATAATTACAGAATTTCACTGTATTTGTTGGAACATGAATTATATCTGGTGACTTGGTTTAATATCAGCATAGGTGAGGAAAACTACTTTATCACTGAAAAATCTGTTTGCTTTTTCTTACTGATTCAAATTAAGTTCTCGTTAAGAATTTTTCTTTGCACAACATAGGATCTTCTAGAAAAGTGATGTGTTTTCACTATGTTGGTTCATTGTGTTGGTTGCAGTGCAACATACCATGGCTACATGTGAAAGCAGCTGGTGTGAAGAATAATGGATTATCAACACACAAAAGCAACTGAAAGTATGGGTTTGAAATATGTGGCTACACTTTCACAAAAGAGGTTTTATATAATACACTAATTCATATTTCGGAGCAAACAGAAAGTGCATTCTGAATAATAAATATGAGTAGAAGCACTGAACATTGTTTTTAGAGCCAAGTTTGCTGGGTGCCCTTTATTTGTATTCTTCCAGCATGGAAATTCTTTATTTTTACTGTGATGTCTTGTTAATTGCTTTAAAATTTTATATTATAAAATATATTTAGTTCAGTTTGTTTATTTTGTTATTTAGCAGTGGTAGCTCATGTCTTTTCTTCTGGGGCACCTCTGAAACAAAATGTAAAATGACTTTTCCAAATTCTGGTACATTTTAATATTGTTAAATGCAAGTATCAGGTTTCTAGCATTAATGAAACTGATGTTACTATTAATAATGTTAAAGTTGTTCTAACATGTAAATGCTAAGTATTTTTTGTAAAACTGCTTCCCATACCCACAAACTACCTCTTAAACTGGAGACTTCTTCATTGACAGGATAGCATAGTGACAAGTCTGCAGCTTAAAGCACCTTCTTAGTTAAAATTTGGGATGTCACAAACATTAAATTAGAAACATAATCTGGGAATGACTCACCATGTAATCTGATATTGTATTCACACACATGTATGATTATATATGCTCTCAACATATCTAAACTACGAGTTAATATTTTAAGTGGGGCATTGCCCAGAGTGGCCTAATTGATACTGATATTTGTGGGAAGTTCAACACATTTTTGAGGTACAAAAGTACATCACCAGGTAACTTTGTGTGTTTTTACACAAAGTTATGTATACACAATTGTGTGTATATACAGCCATACCCTGTTGGAGCACTACACTTTGCTGACCATCAAGTGGCAGAAAGTTAAAACCTTTTCTTTTCACTCAGAATATTTCCAGTGAACTGATGGGTTTACCCCATGAAAGGGGTAAATAATTGGCTATATTTTGCTGGATTACACAAGGATATTTTTCTTTATAGGAGTACATGTCATCTATTCCATCACTTTACACTGCCATTCTCCTCATGTCATATGCAACTGACTGATTGTACAGTACCCACTTGTATCTCTGTAGTACTTAACTTCCTTACTGTGACCAGTCTGATTGTATTCAAGACTAAAGTGTGTTTGTGTACTGAATGTTGGTCAAGTGTGTGGAGAACACTTTCATAACTGAAGATCCCGCTACACCGTCAAACAGCAAAATGGTGGGCGATCGATCTGTAACTGTTCTGCCAGATTTCTTGGAATGTTACTTGTTACTATATTCAGCTTATTCTTGGTAATGTTTCTATTTTAAAGTTGCTGGTGCCCCTCCCAGTAGCTTGTTCATTTCCTGTAAAAGTGCTGTAAGTGGTTTCTTACCAAAGTAGATTTTATTTGTTAATGTATAATTGTTGGTATACAGTATTTTTACAATTGAATATTACAGGAAGTTGTCTACCTACATAGCTGGTAGAAATAAAATTGTATGGCGATTAGTGGGGGTAGTGCTTTACTGGGGGATTCCATTTGAAATTACAAAGAAAATTCCTGTTTTAAGGCTTTTGTGGGCATAGTGCAAGGATGGCAGTATATAGATGGTGCTGTATTGGGGTTTGACTGTATAACTGCACACACACACACACACACATTGCTGTAAATTGCAATTTTTTTTAAGACGTGGGCACCCTGCATACTTGAGTGTACTTCGTAATATCGAATATTGAAACCACAAACAAAGGTATTCTTTTAGAGATATTCTGTTCTATATTATATATTGTTAAAATACATATATAATTTATCTATATTAGGTATTCTCTGCAATAAATAACAAAACATTTCAAAATTCAGTATAATACAAGTGGAATCTTTTGTAACTGCAGTTGTTAGTTTTCATGTTGTGGTTTAGTATGTGGCAATTTTAGTTGCAGTTTATGAAAAACAGGTTTGCAGCATTTAGTTGAATTAAAGTAATGGTTTTATATGTGTATTGATAATGCCTCAAGCCCAGTTGTTTGAGTTGACATTTTGCTTTTGAATTAAAATTATTTTATTTCTCATCTTTTTTTAAGGAATTACAAGACGTCGCATTGCCACGTTTTATGATTGTAAGATCATTTTTGTGCTAAAGTTTGTCCCATTTATTATTTTGCATTGTATTGACATTACAATAATACCCTTCTTTATTGGCCAGGAAGGTATCCTCTCAATTTTATTTTCAGTTAAAGAGAAAAGGGACAGGAGGATATTTCTGGAAATATATGCACTATAACTGGATATTAGTTGATTATGTTTGTTCTCTGTGCATACAAATTTTCTAGAAGAGATGTAGGTCCTTTGTATTATAGATAGATTTAAGAATGTAAACAGAATCTGTGTTGTAAGTCATGTAGGTGTCATGTGCGAAAAGTGACTTTCTTTATACATGCGCACATAGACTTATGATATTTAAAGTACAAATAACGGCTCTGTTCACACTTGTGTTTGTACATTTTTATTTTACTACAATGTAAGATAAATATTTCATAAAAAGTTGTGTGAAATTGAAAACAGTCCTTACCAATATTGATTAATTATTACTTTTAACAGTCAGTCAGGAATACTTTCATGATCTTCAAATAAATATTTTTAACATCCTTGATGTATTGAGTACACATTGCTTTGTTAATTCAAGTTAGGCTTAACTAAGAAGACGAGAAAAATAATAATAGTTTACGAGTTTATAATTATTTGCTATTACAGCAGTTACTGCTTGATTTAGATTCAGAAAGTATACCACATGTGATAAGATTGTCATCCTTCCCAGAATAGGCCTAGGTGACCTGTTCATTGATAATACAAAAACAAATCTTTCCATCGTTTTGTATAGTTATTGCATCTTCTTCAGGTTCATAATTTTATAAATTCAGTCACAGGTAAATCTTCCAGCAAGGTTTTTACCTTTGTATAAAATCTGTTATTGGTGAAATATGTAATTTTTTTCTTTTATGCTCTAAATCAGGTTCAGTTTTCAACGGTTCTCACCATGTGACTCAGTTTTCCAAAAAGACTTAAAAGTCTGCAACCGATTCACCAAAACAGTAGCCAGTTGTGCTGAGTGGTCACCAGTTATTTCAGAACTTCAAGTGCTGGGACCTTGCAAAAAAAAAAGACATACACATGTCCCACTCAGAGTGACTGAAGACCATGGTAGGATTTGGTAGGATCCAGAGGCAGTTGATATTTTTGGAACAGAGGTAACAAATTGGTGGTTTGAATAATGAGAAAAATTAAGAAAAAAAGTGAAATGTGGTACACAGAGTGATGGAAAGAACTTCTTGAAATTAAAACACACTTTGATGAATTATGGACTTTCACAACTGTGTAATTTGGAAATGTCTCCATAAGTATATTCTTGTAGGTTTAAAATAATTCTAATACCAAAAGCAGTTTTTTCAATAGAGTAGGCAATCTTTGCTAATGTAAATTGTCTACTTAAGCCAACTGTTTTGTATTGCTTTATACATTTCAACTGCCACTGTAACATGTATGGGTTTGGGTTATGTTAAAATAATGACAGTGGTGGGATGTATTAGCAAAGAGTTACTACAGTGCTGAATTAAATGTTATTTAACAACAAAATACTGTAAGGGACTGATAAATATGACCATATTTGAAGGGTTAGGGGGGGAGAGGGATGTAAGCAGGTGTGCAGCCAAGGAAGCTATAATGTATGGATTGTACAATGTTGTCTCAGTTCAAAAACTGTTGGTTCCAAGTACAGATAGCCTGAGTTTGTCATGTGTTCTGTTGTTGCATGTACTGTTTATAGACTATCTTAGAATTACCACAAACAGATTTGAACCAGGTGTGTAGTATGCAATGAAAGTAGTACATTATAGTGACCTGAAAGACAAACACATCCATTCATGGTGAGGGGAGAAAAATAACAGCCCACATTATAGAGAAATTCGACAAAGAAAAACAAAAGTATTTACTTTTACTACTGTTGAGAGTAAGCAAACAAGCAACTGTGTGCAGTGGTGTGTCTTGCTCTACAATCAAGACAGGTGTGTGATAAGGAACACATTACAGGATTTCTGTGTCCAAGAAAAGAGTCCCAGCCATCTCAAAGCTGTTGCAAATTAAGGAAAAAAACATATTGGGGGCCCAGAGTTATCAGGCAGAGTCATAAAAAGATTTGGATTTAAGAGGAGGAAATGCCATTCGAAATGCGACATTTTGATTGAGACGTTGGATACTATTGAATGGAGATTAAAACATCTCATAAAAATAAAGCAGTATTTGGAAGAGGGGTGCCTTATATTGTATGTAATGGGTCTACAGCAATCTAATGTTTAGGAAGTTCTGGCAAAGTGATGACATTATGGATATCCAGATGAATGTGAACTCTGAAACAAACTTATCATGTTCCATACAGGGGCATTAATGGTTTTGTTCCAAATAGAAGGACAGCCTTTACAAAGTGCCCATTCCTTTAAAGTTAAAAGAGAAGGTTTTCAATATTCACAGCACCTGAGGATATAAGCATGCATCTTTTTGGCTTTCTTCTTATATGTGTGACCTAAACCCAGTAGAACTTGCATGGGCCAGAATAAAGATGATACTAAGGAAACACAATGTGACATCAGATTTGTCATTAAAGAAATTACTTCACACAACTAGTGATGCAATAAGACAGGTAACTCAGGAAGATCATTGATGTTTCTGCCAGCACTCAGATTTTCTGGTAAAACAGTACAAGGAAAAGGATGGTGGTGGTCCAGATGAGGTAGCATTATCATCAGCCTCAGTTATGACAGTGAAGGCAGCACACTATGTCTGGTGAATATTAAGACTGAAGAGGTCTTTCATTCACCAGAAAATGAGCAGGTAAATGTTTTGCATTGATAGTAGTCATATTAGTATGCACCCTATAGTCTGCCTCTTGCATTCCTTGTCCTTCATCACCCTGCTTGTGCCTTGGACACATTAGTCTTACACAGTACAAAATTTTCTGCTAATAAATATGTGTTCCATCTTTATTTTTGTCATGTAATACTTTATATGGCATGGACTGACACACATTCAAAGTAGGTAAATGGGGTAAGGTCTTTACCAGAACTCTGTTTAATTTAAACACTTTCAGCGACCTTTAAATACAATTTTAACATCCTTTACAACTTGGTTCATTTCATTTGGGTTATGCAAAAACTGTACCTAATCCACTTTGTTTATTATCACAGCAGAAACTACTTGTATTATTGTTCTTATTACTGTATCCAAATGTGTGTAAGATACACAATCCACTTAACAATCTGATAAGAGAGTATTATAAGGTACCAGTATTAATTTCCACTTATTCCATATAAAAGAAGAGGTAAACTGTACAAAGCCAAACTTTATCAGCTCTTTGCTGTTGCCAGTTTTTGATTCTGCTAAGATGTTTATCTCTGCATGTTACAATGCATGTCTTTACAATACTATACAAAAGGAAGCAAAAATCATTCATATGGCAAATTGGCCACCGGGGGTGTATTAATTTATTTCAGTTGATGCTGAACCTGCTTTTGGATACTGGCACCATGCAGAATTTGTCTTGCTAAATTGTTTATTTCAGATATACAGGACAAGAGACATACGAAGATGCTTGTGGCTGCTATGATTCTACAGTTCCACACTGAGATTTAGTGAGCTTTAATCTATTTGCCAGACAACAAACTGCTGTCATCACCATTGTAGTCAAGTGGCAAGTTGAAAAGAGGACAATTTGTTTCCAGACTTGCATTGGAGCTGGACTACATTAAGGGTCCATTGGTCATTTTGAGCATGCATGAAGTGCTGGAAGGCCACTTGTAATTGTGGTAGTACATCCCTCTCAATTTGTTCCACATTATTGCCAACACACCATGCTAAACTCATGTGAAATGATGGTTCCTAAAAGAAATCACAGAATTAGTATTTGCAGGGAGACTTCCTAACAATACAATTTTTAATGTAGGTTTCTTTAAGAACTCAGTGCTACTATTCTACAATCAGATGTGATAAAGAGTGGTCATTAGGTGTATGGTAGCAAGGACTGTCATGGTAAGAGGTACAGAAATCAGCATTAATACTCTTACTTTCAACAAAATAAAATCTTTTGTGAAAATAAAGTGTTTCATGCAGACCATTCTTTTCAGAGGTGTGCGTGTGCTGTGTTTTCCAAAATGGATGACTATGGATTCAAGTATTACACTTCACATGGACAAGATATAAACTTAGGTCTTAAGGTGTTTGTGTTTAACTATTTGAAATAAGAGGCAAAGAACTGGTTCTTGTGCATGGTTCATAAGAATGTACTATTGATTTCTAGAAATAGTCATGACAGTCAAGTTTAAACACCATATTTTACAACGGCGCAGAGGTTAAATAAGCTAGTTCAAGTCATAATATCAGGATTTTTCATGCAGATTTTGTTTTTGCATAAATGCCCAAGAAGACTAGCTTTATATTCAACAAAATTCAAATTGTCAAAACAAACTTCAACCTCATATGTCGGAATTTGGACATATTTTAAAGACACCAGGTCTTTGAAACAGCCTGCTAACATATTAATTTATATTTTGTGTGATATACTTTTTAGAAACAAAATCCATTCTAAAGTATGTGTCTTAGAAAAATCATTAACATCAATTCATGTTTCTGGTGCCCTTGCTTATTATGCATCTGGCATAAATAATGGAAGGTACTTAAAACCCACATACAGCTAAATGCAAGGAAATCACAAGTGACTGGAATTATCATGCCAGTTGTATATTTTATTTCACTTCTAGTTTTGGGTTTTTAAGCAGTTAATTTTTGGTGCACAAAGTTTAAAAACATCTTTTTACCCACATCTCTTATTAATCGTCTACTTTGAACCTAGTAATTATGCTTTGTATTTCTTCTATTACTGTAGACTGACCTCCACATGCCAGCCATTTATTAACTATCTTTAACCATCACTGACCATGATGGAGACATTGGTTTTTAACTGAACATCGACATGGCTGATCACCTGAGAGTATTTTATAACAAGGATGTATTCCATATAACAGAGGGATATTTCTTTTAGAAAAAGCTGGAATATTGAAGATGGATGGGAAATCCCAAAAACATAAATATCTTTGGAAAGAAAATGAGGACAATAATGCAATTGAGAGACCAATTTTTATCTTCTATATTTATATTTTTACAATTTTAAAATGAAACCTTAATAGTTCCATTTGGATCTGGAACAGGATAAATAATATAATCATTAAGGTGAAACAAATGATATTTGTAAGAATACCTTGTAGAATGGAGGAAGTTTGAAATCTGCAAGGCACTTGTTTAGTATGTCAGCTGCTGCAATCAGTGACTTATGACCAGCTGCCACTGTTAATCCGATGAAGGTACGTGTTTTTTGTTCATTACAGTACACCCCAACGTTGTTGAAGCCGAGTGAAAAGCTATAAAAAATGTTTAGAGTATTATATTTACAATATTTCAAATTCAAGAAGCTTTTAACAGGTTTAAGTCTACAATTCTATATTCCATAATATGAATAACATGAATACAACATAGGTTTGTTGGCATCAAATTGGATGTTTGTGAATAAATGGCAGGATAATTAGGAAATGTGGGGATAAACTGATTTCTATTTATAATGATAGCTCATGGCCAGGGAAACTGAAAAGTTACAGAAAAGCTCTAAAACATGATAGTTCATCTCTAGGTTAAGAATTACTGAATTAAAGGGGTTAGACTGATGTTCACTACTACAGTTTCAGTGAAACATTTTACATTAACATCAAGGGAGCAATAACAGACCTTGGAAGTTCCTTGATACAATGTTGCACAGACTCCATGAACGAGTTAATCCAATGATGCCTCAACACCACTGTCCGTGTTAAACTGATATGATGATCATCTATAGGTTTAACAGGAACTGACATCTTGCAGCATTCCAGCACAACATCAACAAATGAGCTGACTGCTGGCCCAGGCTCAACTGGAATTATAATCCCTTACGAAAGAACATGCAAGAAACTTGCAAAAAAAAAGAAGCCCTAAGTAGCATTAACAAACTAATCTCTGCCATGGAGATGTGTTGGGTTTCTTTAAGGTAGGTACTACATTTTTAATTATTTGCATGAACTTTGTGCCTGACGGTTATAATATTGCAGCCCCATTATCATCCATAACAATGGACGTGCAATAAGCTATTCTACCCTAAAGCTATCCTGTGAGCCTGCTTTACAGACATGGAGTGTGAACATACAACTTCATGTTAACAGTTATGGTGATGAGACTGCAAAGCTAAAAGTGGTGAGAACATTCTTCACTTTTCAAATATTTACACCTTCAGATTCAACCAGAAAAAATAAGACATTTTTATTTCATACATGCCTGTTGGAGTTTTTTTTTGTGATTTTCTTATAAAAAAGCACACTCAAGCATCTTGTCAAAGTCTATTACATAAAAAATACAGAAACTGTTGCTTAATAATCCAACAAAATGTAGATGTCCACATCTTTTACAGCAGTATGCAATAAGAGTTGGATAGCTCAGTATAGTGACTGATTATGCACTGGAAGACCAGGGTTCAATCCGTGACAGGGGCAGAGGGATTTTCCTCTAGCCTCTGTATCCAGACTGGCTCTGGGACCTGGGGGCAAAGTGTGGCCAGGGGATGAAACTGACCATTCACCCCTACTGAGTGCCAAGGTTAAGAATGAATAAGAGCTAAACATCTTCTCCATCTCCTCCCCCTAAGTGCTTACATGGCATGTAGAGGGACAGCAGCAATGAAATATGTCATCAAACCTCACCCGCTGTGCAGGTTATTGAGGAACTTGATCTCTAATTGCTTCTTGGCATACATAACATTCAAGAAGCATAAAAACTACATTTTTAAGTAGTCTTATTTGTATCTCAGCAGATGTAATGCCAGTATTGAAACTCTTCCACGTATAACAAAGAAGTATGAATGAAATCAAAATAGTGTTATAATTTTGGTTCTATTTGAAATACATTTCTTAGTTATCTTAAAATTTAAGATGACAGCTATTTGACTCCAAGACCTTCAATTAATGCTTCCAAACCTAACGTTAGCTATTATGGAAGCTATGCTCAGTTTCTTAGGAAACTTTGTTGTGTGGGATAAAAACCTACTACAGTAATTTTAATGCAATGCTGATGTCTCTATTGTACTGGCTGTAGGGCCATCACTTAAACTTACAAGGTATGTAAATGTATGTTGACCAGTTCCCTCTCTCATGTGGGAAGGAACGAATACGCCCGTCGTGTTCCACTGGATTGTCCACTGGGTCTTTGGATCCTGGAAAGAGCGACATCAGGGCTGGAGGAAGGGGTAACCTGCACACATCAGAACTATGCAAGTAAAACTGATTTTTAATATACTTGTCTGAACAATAAAAATAACACTAGGATATAATTTTTATGTTATTCAGTGTTTGTAGGTTATATGAGAATACAGCCCTGAATGCTTACTTTTCTTTATCTTCATTATTTGATCTCCTTTTATTAGGATTATGAGTAGGCCAGTCTTTTGATGCCTGTCTCTTGGTGGAAACTTTAGGTCCAGGAATTTCTTCATCACTGCTTTCATCACTTAAATAAGCGTTTAGAAAAGCCAAGGCACTTTTCGAGCAATCCGCCATTCTTTTACACGTGTACCAATGAATTAAACGAAACTGATGGAACCGTGGTAAATGAAACTAGGGAGGAAATAATTTCATATATTGGTAGCGAAGCTGGTGGATAGTTTTGGCAATTATTTTATATTATTTTTGCACCGTTTAGTTTATGAAACTTACTATGTCTTCTTTGGGGGATAGGTTTAGTAGTTGCAAACGACTTCAAGTTGTTTGCAACAGTGCTGGTTTACTTGTGCACTAGCAATTGTTAACAACATATTGTGGTGTTGGGTAAAATGGACGGAAAGTATGTGTTGGTGGAAGGCTGGAAATTTAAGATGTAGGGTTTTGGAAACCCAAAGTCACTACTGAACTGTGAAAACAATTTGTAATGGAATGCAAGTCTCTTGAAAAGTAAGGCTCTGTGTACTTCACGAAGAGTTTTTTTTATCGTGGTTAATTCTGCATCTTGCTTATATGGTATTAGTTTCATTGGTACCAGTCATTATAATAACAACTGAAGATGGATTTCGAGCTTTGAATGAAACACCTTCACTATCATTAATAATCAAATTATCAAAGTGTGTCAAGCAATTTTTGCATTTAATTTAAAATTAGAAAAAGCTTAAAGGGTGCAAACGAGCTTAGGACCAATGGCAATTGTTAGTAGTCTTATTAATAATCGGTGCTGTTGAAGTAAACATGTACCATTAATTATGTTCTCTTCGTTATTTTACTTGCAGTTTGAGAAGCATATTCAACATTTGAGAAGTTAACAGCATATTACTGCAGAACCAAAGATAAGCAGGTGCATCATACTAGTCGTAAATATAAATTATAGTTCCAGTTATCAAAACTTTCCTTAAGGATCTATATTCTGTTATGAAACAAGAATGTTTAGTTATGGTTCCCATGCTCCTAAAAATGATATAATTTAGTTATATGTCTTTCAGTACACAAGTACTGCGCAATGTAATTATAATATTCTTACATGGATTCAGAATGAAGTGAAATACAATTTTGTAATAGTTTACGTATCTAGTCAAGTAATGTGCCACAAAAGCTGTAACATCCCACCTACAAGGCCAAAGACATATTTCATTCTGAATAAGTGATGTAAATCCTGAGCATGTAAGTTACCAAAATAATTGGCCATAAGCATGAAGGAGAAACACAGAACATGGAAGTCATAACAGTAAATATAAAAGATTTTAAGATATACATATGGAGGTTATTTATACATGTAGTTTGTTAGGTTTGTTCACATGTCTTAATGTAGGATAATTAGACTACAGTAAATGTTTAAAGAAGAAAACATTTGCACTTCTTGTTCACATGAACCAAAGATCTTGCCATATTAGAACATGTTAAGTCCTTGTAGCTTTGTAGGTAGTAAATTTTATTTTTCACCAAAGCTGTAGTTACACATATGTCCTGAACGGGTTAGATTTGAGTTTAGGATCAAGGTGTTTGTAATTGAAATGAAGAAATGATTAGTGCATCAAACACAAAGGAAAAGCGCCACCAGTGTGAAACTTGTAGCAAAGCATTTGCTACAAGTGCTGACCTCACAAAGCATAGACGTGTGCATACTGGAGAGAAACCCTACTCATGTGCAGAATGTGGTGCAGCCTTTAGTCAAGCAGGTGGGCTCCGCACACACATTCTGGGTCGTCATAACAGTGATGGCCCAACTTTTCATTGTCATTACTGTGGCAAGACATTTCCTGTAAAGGAACGACTGAGACTGCACTTGCGTACACACACTGGTGAACGCCCTTATTCTTGTGACCTTTGTAAAAAAACCTTTGCTCGTGTTGGACAGCTTGCCCAGCATTCACAAACTCACACCGGGGCACGTCCTTACCGCTGTGACCGATGTCCAGCTGCTTACTCTTGTGCAACCAACCTTAAAACTCATCTTAAACGTCATTTGGGGCAACGTGATCATGTGTGCCATGAGTGTGGGAAAACCTTTGCACGGCGTGATGGTTTACAAAAGCACCTTGCTTGTCTACATGCAAACCAAAGGTCTTTCCATTGTGCAGTATGTCGCAAGGATCTGAAAGGGCATCTTCTGCAACACCTGCGAACCCATTTGCATGAGAAACCTCATGCTTGTCCAGATTGCAAAGCCAGTTTTGCTCAACGATCTCAGTTGACTGTGCATCAGCGCACTCATTCAGGCGATAAGCCATACAGGTGCCCAGTGTGTCGTCAGGCATTCTCCCACTCTACAGCCCTTAAGCTACACCTGCGTCGTCACACAGGTGAGAAACCATTCCGCTGCCCTCTTTGTCCTTCCACTGGATTTGTCCAGTTACCGCACTTGAAGAAACACATGCGCTGCATTCACAAGACAGACAAGCCATACCTTTGTCTTGGCTGTCGCAGTTTCTTCAAGACAAAAAATGAACTTGACAGTCATGAGCAGAATTCACTGAAGTGTCTAGAAGCCCGTTCCTCCAGTGCAAAAACAGAATCCACTTCCAAGGGTACAGATAACTCCCCCATAGATCCTGTCATGCCTGTTAACCGAATGCGTGTACTTCTGGCTGTACTGCTGAAACGCATATCAACTCCAGCACGTCTTGATGCGTTGGGATTTGGTAGACGACTCATTGATGAAGTTCTTTGTGAGTCTATAGAGAGCTCAGGTCGTAAGGCATGTTCGGATCTTGCAGATGAAGGTGAACGTTTACGTAAAAATGTTGAAATCCTACTGGATTGGACAGTACCAAAACAGTACATGGAGAGATTTCGACGGGAAAGTCGTTCGACAGAGGAGTTATTGGAGGAACTGACATCGTGACAAATCTCAATTATTATTTATGAATGTTGCCTTCACAGAATATTCAGCCTTGATCAGTGTAGTTGAAATCAGATTGGGTTTGCTGTGAAATATGAATTATGTTCACGGATCTCAGCATAATAATAATAAGCTTTGATTACCATCATCAGACAAGTTACTTCATCTGTGTAAATTTAATTATGTAGAATCCCAGTGGTATGATTTTTTCTGCATTCAAAATTGGATATAAGTAATTACTAGTGTCAGGCTAGTACACCTTGATCGGTGCTCACAATTAACATTATTGCCTGTCTGGTAACCAAACAAGAATTTTAGCGTTATCAATTTATAATGAAGGAAGGATTGAAGCTTTCTGTCTTCTGGGTTGTTGCTCTGTGTAGTCTGGTCGATGTTAACTGATGAATCGCCCTGATGACGGAGGTAGTATGACCTCTGAAACGTTGGTTAACATGGGCCAGACTCACAGCGCAACAACCCAGAAGACAGAAAGCTTCATACTCACCGCTGTGAAAACCTCAAATATTATGAAGGAAGGATTGTTTACAAAACATCCGGAGTTAGTAACATTTCATTTGTTGTCTTAACCTTTCATTCTTAATGAAATGCTACAAGGAAATGGATTATTTATCTGCTGATTGTATTTACTTACATTTTAGCGTGGAATGTTAAAACACTGCTTGTACATTTTGATTTTGATGTATGACAAAATATTTTTAATTTCAGATTTAGCCATAGTAAATAATCAGAGGGCTAAGACTGTGTACTAGTTGCATACTGATTAATTATTTGGAATTTTAGGTTCCTCATGAACTGATACCATGAGGTAAAATGTGACAGTAACTATACTTATCATGCTAATCCTTTGTGATCCAGTATTTATATTCTGTATGGATTAGTGTGTTTTTCACTGTTGGGTATGGAAGTGCAAAGGATTAATGACAATATTTTGAGGTTATCTTATTTACTTTTTATGAAATGTAGCAACCAATAATACGGTACTGAAACTGGAATTACCTTGGTAAACATAGTGAATATTTTTGTTATTTTGATTTGCATGCTACAGATTTTTTATTTACCTACATACTTGTTAATATATATATATATATATATATATACATATAAAATTTAATATGCAAATTTGATAAGGAAAGTTTAAATTTTAGTATTTTCTGTTATTTGGATATAGAAAGAAATGTATGTAACAATATATGTTCATACATAGTTTCATGAACTTATGAAGGCATATTGATATGTTGATGCATATCTGCCAATATCTTTAATTTTTATTTTGTAGTATGTTACTTCCAGAAAATAGTTTTTTCTCTCTTTTCAGTTATAAATTCTGCCAGTATTTCTGCATTCAAGTAGAAATTCATGTACAGTATCGTGTAGTCGTCATGCCTTTATGTATTCCTTTCACTTTGACCAGTGTTTTGTTAAACTTTTTCATACTGCTAGGAAATTCTGAAACTTTTTTATTTTGTAAATTACTTTGCTTTCTTATTACTTTGTTATGTAGTCTGTGCTTTCTTGGGATTTTTAAGAATTTCCTAAAGATTTGTATGTAAATTTTTTTGGCACATTGGACTGGCTTAATTATTATAAGTACTGCTTGTTCAGCATTAATGATTTTTGCAGGATTATGTCAATTTATATGTCCATACATGGGGTACTGTGGAAAAACATCACATAATAGTTTAGAAATTGTGACATATGTAGACCCACTAGTGTTTCTCCTTAGGTGTGAAAACCTCCATTATTGATCAGTCTTTCTACCATTCCACATTTCACATTAAAATCTAGGCACTGCCTACATTGCACTACAACTAACAGTTGCAGTGGCTTTAGTAATTTTGGTCCCTTGTGGGAAAGTTATGGTAGTAGGTGCTAAAACGATAAGTTGGCTGTAGATTTTCCCCTCACATTTACCTTATACTGCCGTAAATATTGGAACAACTACAGGAGTCTCTTCAAGAGAATTTAAATTTATGATAACCTTGACTGCCTAATAGATATTCACATAGTTTTTGTACTGTGTCTGCAGATTTTGATGTTCAAAATAATTTTTGTTGTAGTTTGTTATTTATATCAAATGCTAATAATGATGCGCTGTGTTCTGTTCGCTGATATTTTGTTTCATGTTCTCATGTTTTATAAGAGAGAGGTATCAACATTGGAATATTTCTTTTAATTTGGGCATTTGTTTAAAGTATGTGAATATTTGTTTTCCTTTTGTTGTAAAGCACTGGGAAAAAGAATTTGGGTATGGAATCCTGACATTATCACCAGTAATAGCTTACTAAATTTGCTTAAATCAAGGGCTGGATTGTCTGATACACAGATAACACACCATACCTTGTGCATCTGTTTCAGAATTTGTGTTTAGATGTCACATTTCAGTTGGCAGAAGAATGGAAGTGACTTGTCCTTGTTGGTGTTGAATTTTTTCAGGATATTAATATATAGTTTTTATCCACTTGTTTTTTATTTTCTCACCATTAATGGAGATAAAGTGTCATGTCTAATTTGGTTTCAGCTATGTGCAACTCCAGTAACAATTCCATTCATGCTTTTATCATTAGGGCTTCGGAGATTGAGCCATCTATTCTATTTTTCACCTGGGTCACTCAAATGTCAGAACACATCCAGTGAGTGGATTAGTATGAGTTTGATCACTGTGTTTTGCTTTATTACCATTCATAAACATTTTTAAACCTTTGGGGGGAGGGGGTTATGTCACAAAACATTCATTCATAATCATGAGTCTTGTAAGGATTAATCATGAGCCACCTCAGAAATAGATGTTCTCTTCAAATATTTTCAATGTACATGGTAGTGAACGTATTTGTGTGTCCAATGTAAACATCACATTATGTGCCAGTTTTGTACTACTTGAAATTAGTCATTGTTATTTAAGGTAAAATATGGAAATATGTTTGCATTATTAAATAAGATTTAATATTAATAATGCTGTACCTTCTCAAGTAGCAAGTTGCAGTAATGAGACAAGGGGCCACTGTAAGTACTAATTAAAACAGTACTAAAATTGATGTTGGTACACAACGTTGTTTGGCAGATTGCCTAGCTTAGAGAAAGTTGCTAGATTGCTCTTTTAATGGTGATGGTTAATTTCTTCTGGGGCTGTTGGTGGAGGTATTTTACTTATAGCTTAGATATAATTTGAACCCTCATTAGTCACTTCACTGTAAATTGTGAAGGATACATTTCTACTGAAATTTGTGTGTAAGGCTTCAGAAAAACCTGCATCTTAATTTCATCAAACACATGTGAAGATGCACTTGTAGTGTGCAATATGCTTCATAGAGACACTTTTTATCAGTCTTTAACTCATTTATGGTGAGGTGTAATATATTTCTGGAGAATTGGTTGTGGATGAAAATTGAACTAGAATAATAACATTTGGTGCATGTCTTAACTTTAAATACCTCATCAATAAATAGGTGCACTCAAATATAAAGGTTGTTTGAAAAAAGCTGTTTGGGAATTTGTGTTGTGTGAAGTAGTAGAGGCTGTTAAAAAGAGCCCCCATTGGTGTCCAGGCAGACATCTCATTGACACACCAGCTGATGGATACTCTTTGCAAAGAACTCCTGGGTTGCTTCTTGAACCACTGCGCCACCACAGCCTTGATATCTTCATCCAACCTGAATCTGCAGCCCTTCATTGCCAAAATACATGTAGGTCTTGGGGGCATTGATATTGAAAACATTAAGGGTGGGGATACAGTGGTGCTTGTATGCTGACAGCATTTCTTACAGGTTAAATGTGGTGGCACCACAGTGGGTGCAGAAATATATTTCTGTCTGCCTTCTAGTGCTGCAGATGTTCGAGTGGTATCATACAGCCTGGATCTCTTACCATGTGACTTCCAGGCATTCAGCCTCCTTAGGAGAGCCTTAAAAGATGATACATTCAGGTCATAGATGTCAGGGTCTCAGTGGTGGAATTGTTCAAGCTGCAGCCTAGGAAGTTCTTTGCAGAGGGCATCCATAAACTCATGCATCTGTGTCTCACTGTCCATGGGGACTCTTTTTAGTAGCACCTACTCATTGGCCCAAAACAGTTCCCTGGATGAGTTTCATTTGAATGGGTCTCATAAATAATTATTTGAGATTAAGTTTATACAGAAATTTTGAAGGTGTATTAATTGGTGTGGAGTAAGAGGAAGCCTCCACTCTCGAGTCATTCCCTGAATCAGTAACAGTTTTATCAAATCCATGCCAAAGTATACAATTCTAAGTAAAATTGGATTGATATTTAAATTACTCTTTAACCCTTTGCCCCATATGCTTTTATTGTTGTACTTTTAAGTTTGATGTAAAACCCAGTGACTGCAGAATTACAGAATTAGTATTCCAAATTAAATGTTTAAAAACATTGGTATGGTCTTCCAGACAAAATTGTTCATTCTTTTTATTATGGTATTGAATGAACAAAACACTCAGTGATGTTTGTTATTATTTTTGATGTTTGAAATGTCAAATGTCACATTATCATGCACAGTCTCTGCCATCAAACAGTTTTGATTGTACTTTTCACATCTTTGATATAGTTACCAGTCTGCAGAACTATCATTTTCAGAAGATGCTATTTTAAGTTTTGTGAAAAGGAAACATGTCTAATGTGTTCACATTGTCACAGCAGATGGTGAAAATATTTGACTTCAAACAGAGAGGAGACCAGGTGATATGTTAAATGGGGCACTGGGTTAAAGGGAAACATGCAAATCGGAAAAGCTCAAATTATAGCAGTGTCATAACTACATTGTATCATTCTATGTGCACTATTTCCTGGCTTACTGTTGTTGCAAGGTACTAGATATTAAAGCATGGCAAACACATCTTAACCCCAGGATAATATGTGAACTGTGAGTTAAGATTTCAATTCTTCTCCTCCCATAATTTTGATAAAAATCTTTTCCCCATTGCTAAGCCACACTGCCTTTAGCTGACCATCACTTTATAGTCATACTGTTTTTTAAAGAAACATGAATGAGTGATTGTTACGACATTGTATTAACATGTGGAAGACATTTTTTAACAGTGAAGATAGAAACAATACTGTGTAATGGCAAGGAAAATTGTTTTTCAGTGCATTATAAAATCATCATGAAATCCAACATGAGTACAATTTGACAACTCAGCTTATCCTTGCAATATTGTTGCTGCCTTACTGAAGAAGGGTGGAGGTAGAGATTGGCTAAGCTGAGAAAATAAATGCAGAACTCTGACTCCTTCTGAGGGTTTTGTATCTGTTTGTCATACAGTAGTGTATATTTTACTTTCTTCTAGTAATGATGAATCTTGGGTAGATCAGTCAGTGTAGTGGCTGTCTACAGTCTGCATGTCTGGTGTTAATTTTCTTGAAGGGGCAAAAGAGTTTTTCCTTAGCTTCCATGTCCAGGCTGACAGCTGGGCCCTCCCTGGGGGTGAAGCTAACAATTCATACCCATCTATTGCTAAGGTCAAGAAAGTCCAAATACATTTTCATGATTGCGTGCTTAATGAGTACTAGGGACAGCTTTATCTGTTTACCCAGTGTTGTTGGTGGTGGTGATTATGTATTCCTCCAGTTGATGTCAGTCTCTTGCTTTGCAAATAATTTCTTAGGAAAATAAAATATGTAAGATTTGTGGTTTTCACAGCGTTGAGTATGAAGATTTCTGTCTCCTGGGTCGTTACGCTGTGTAGTATGGTAGATGTTTACCAATGTTTCAGAGGTGATACTGCCTCTGTCATCAGGACGATTCATCACTCTGATGACGGAGGCAGTATGACCTCTGAAACGTTCGTAAACATGTACTATACTACACGGCGCAACAACCCAGGAGACAGAAATATTCGAAAATAAAATACTTCACAGCATTATATGAGCTATTAACAAGAATGAAGTGTGCCATTTTAATTTGTTGCTTTGTTTATATTATCTATATTTGGAGCTAATCAAACTTCCTGCCATTCAAAATGACATTTTTCCTCTGAAATTTTTGTGAAAGAGTATAGAGCTTGAATCAGACATTTTTTGTAACATTTGCATTATGTATTGAACAC